ACCAGTTTTCCGGTCCAGTCCGGTTTTGAAAACCATGTATGAGACAGATACATATCTGGTATTCTAGCGACCTGAACAAAAGGGCGCCTCAACTCAACCCGACCTGAAATCTCTTCGGGTTTGGTTGGATCATGGATCACCCTGTCACATCTTTTCAAACCAGCGTTGACATGATACTTGAACGGGTCAAATTATATAAATCTGACGATTAAATCCATATTTTTGCTAAAAAATTATTAACTGAATCAAACATGATCCATCTAACCCATAGATCACCCCTAACCTGAATTTTTTAGGCTAGAGTCTAGCCTTTGTCAGTCCAACCTGACCCTATTGTCAGGTCTATCCTGTCACCAAATTATGTCTATTAGAATATTTTTCTCTGAATTCTACACGATTACAATAATTAAAACTTATAATTTGGAACTCCTATTTTAATGTTGTATTTAATCTATTTATCATTCTCATTCCCACATTTTATCTCTTAAAAGCTACTACTTAAAATCAATACCCCCCCCATCCAATGAATCCCACAATAAACAAACACCTCCTTACGGTAGAATCGATCTTCACTAGCGGTCGATCAGTTTCGAGTGATCAATTTTCTTCTAAATTAATTATTTTTAGAGTGATGATGTATCTGAATATTTACATTGCTATTTGTCTGCTCTCAATGGCCAATGCCTATGCAATATTCTCTTTGGCTGAGATCCTGAGTACCTGCAACTCTGAATGTTTCACGTACTACAGTGCCAAAAAAATTGCAATTACGATCGTATAATTGTGTATTTTTGGACTACTGCTTGCATCACAAAGGTTATTATTGCCCAGATCGTTCTACTGGTTGTTCAATGAGTCTAATTTTCCCTTCTCTACTGGGACCTCTACATCCCAAGTCCCAACCGGTTTCTACTTCTATTTGGGGCCTGGATCACCTGCAAGCTTCCCTTCTTCTCCTCCTACCGTCCCACTTCTATAGTTGAACCCTTGGTGCCTGAGCTGCCATCTTCTTCAAGTTCACTATTGGCTCCTCCTCCTATTGCTCCATGTTGAATGGTCACTTGTTCTTGGACATGTTTATGGGATGGGTTCCGGCTTATCTTTTGCCAAATTTTGAATGAGGCCCGGCCCAAAGCCCAAGCCCGGTACAGTGTAAATCAGGCCCGAAGCCCGTCCTATGAACAGGTCTACTTGTTTTCAACATGGTATTATTAAACTGAATCCAGAGGCATGCAAGTCTATGCTCTTTGAGAGATTGTACCCACATGTTATACACTTGCACAAAAAAGACCCTCTCGTTGGGTCCTTGCAATTAAGAATACAAGGCTCTTTTACATAATCAAACTTGGACGCTTTCAATGGGCTTTTAAGATCAAAAGAAAATTAGATGGGTCTATAGAGCAGTTCATAGCTCGTCTTGTAGCTAAAGGCTTCACCCAAGAGGTTGGTTTCGACTTTGACAAGACATCTAGTCCTGTTGTGAAGCCTATAACTATATTTACAGTTCTCTCTTTAGCGGTATCTCTTAGTTGGCTTATACGTCAGTTGGATGTAAGTAATGCTTTTTTTTTGGGTAAAATTATTAATTAAACTACCCTTATGGTTTAGCTAATTGACTAAGTTTATCCTTACTATTTGAAAAATGACTAATGCTACTCTTATTGTTAATATTTCGTCAAAACCCATAAACACGTGACACCACACGATGTTTAAAAATTTTTAAAACCCAATGCTACCCTTATTCCCTTCCTCTCGACCCGACACACCCTTCCTCCTCTGACCTCTCTCTCTTCCCTCTATCTTCCTCCCACAGTCTCCATCAACACCAGATCACCGGAGAGAATTGCACCGTATCCACACTGTATAAAAGAACTTAAAAAAAAAAGTAAAGCATTTGCCGATCTTTTTAACAGTTAAAAACAAAAAAGAATAAAAGGAAATTAAAACAGAGAACAAGTGAACCGACATACCCTTTATCCTCTTTCTTCTTCAACAGTGACGGTGCTTTGTTGAAGAAGTAGAGAACGAGTGAACCGAATAGGGTGTCGGTGGCGACGACAACTGAAGTGGTATGAGCGAACTGAACAGGGGTGATGGCGGCGGCAACTCCCTCTATAGTCCGATCTTTCTGTCTCTCTTCTTCCTTTGGGTGACGACAACCCCCTTTGAACTCCCATCTCTCTTTCTCTCTCTCTCTCTCTCTCTCTCTCTCTCTCTCTCTCTCTTCTTCCTTTGGGCGATGATGATGGCGGCAACCCCCTCTGAACTCCCATCTCTCTCTCTCTCTCTCTCTCTCTCTTCTTCCTCTAGGCGATGACAATGGCGGCAACAACCCCCTTTGAACTTCCATCTCTCTCTCTCTCTCTCTCTTCTTCCTCTAGGCGACGACAATGGCGACAACAACCCCCTTTGAACTTCTATCTCTTTCTCTTTCTCTCTCTCTCTCTCTTTCTCTCTTCTTCCTCTGGGTGACAACGACGATGGCGACAACCCCATCTAAATTCCCATCTCTCTTTCTCTCTCTCTTCTTCCTCTAGGCGACGACGACAATAACCCCCTTTGAACAAGAGATGAAACAGAGGGGAAAAAAGGAATTAATTACCAGTTGGCTACAAAGGAGAATTCGGGGTCGCCAAGCTTGTAAGTGGAGAGTCGACGAAGGGTCCCCTTGTTGCGATGGACAAGCCTGCAAACAACAGAGTCGATGAGATTGGAGCGATTACATCGGCAACACCATTGCTTGACGTCAATGTCAGTCCATTAGTAGGGTTCGACAACGACTTCCCGCCAGGATTTGCAGATGAAAGGAATCACTTGAATCAATTGGTCTGCCGAGATCCGAACAAATATCAAGGCCAACAACTCCGAGCTTAGCCCTTCCCACCACCTTGATACGTCAGCTTTTCAATTACCACCATTGTTATTACAAATGATAATGGTACCTATAAACGAATTGGAGTAAAATCTCTTGGTTTGCCGCTCTCCATCCATCCTGTCTCTCCTTTTTCCTTGCAGCAGCAGAAGTCTTTCAGTCTTTTGGACTCTCTTTTGGCAGAGGTTAACGGTAAGAATAGACTTAGTCAATTGTCAGAAACAGTAGGGGTACCATCAGTCAATTTTCAAACAGTAAGGGTATAATTAGTCAATTAGCTAAACCATAAGGATAGTTTAAGAAATTTATCATTTTTTTTGCATAAGGAATTCTACATGCACCAACTAATGAGTTTTGTTGAATTCGGTTTCCCAATTATGTATGCAAACTTCATAAATTAAATCTCTCTACAGCCTTAAACATGCTCCAAGAGCTTGGTTTATTTACAACAAATCTTGCATTATAGTTTGTTGCTTCGAAGGCTGACCCTTTTCTTTTCTTTAAATGGAGTGGTTTCTGGCATTCTCTAAGTACTTGTGTATGTTAATAACATTCTTATCATCAATTCTTCTACCATGCTGATCTAGGACCTTATCTCTCAGTTGGTTTATGGGACGACGACTTTGGTCCTGTCCATTACTTTCTTGGGCTTGAGCTCACTCACTCTATAGATGGTATTCATCTCACCTAAATACATGCATGATTTGCTGGTTCGATGCAATATGCAAGTGTTTAGATCAATCAACAACACCCATACTAATTAGGGGTGCAAGTCGGGTGGGATGGGCCAGGTTTTAGCTCAACCCAGGCTCAACCCTAAGAATTGGACCTAAAGTCCGAGCCAGAGGTCAAGCCCGAATTATCCAACCCAAGCCTAGCCTGCACTAAAATTTTAGGCACTTGGATTGGGCCTGAGCCCGGGCTAGACTTGGATTGGTTAAAAGGGAAATCAGTGTTTACAAAAAGAAACTAATTAATAATCAATGAGTAATGACTAATGAGTAATGGTATTGGCACGTGGCACCTAATACTAAATTAGTAATTTGCTAATTAAACAACTACCATTAAGTCATTAACATACGATTCAACTATATACACATGTATATTATGATTTATAAATGTACATGTACAACACATCGGGCCGGGCTTGGGTTACCCAAGACCTCAACCCGAAAAATATGAAAGCCTGCCTTTTCAAACCCAGACCCAACCTGAGGCCCAAAAAATCCAACCCAACCCATGAAAAAAATAAGGTTGGGCAGGGCCACGTTCGGGTTAAGCCCGCCCAAGTTGCACCCCTGATACTAACATGTTATGCACACAAATTATCAAAACAACCAAGCCTTTCTTGGATCAATCAACCCAACCCGGTAACAACCCTAAATACAAATATGAACATTCGTGATTATCAATGTTTATCTGGATCAGGGATCACCTACCAACAAAATATGTTCCAACACTCTCCAAACATGATTTGGCACTACACATCTCATACATGATGGGTCCTAACTGCATGGTGAGATTTGTGGTGTTTGATCATGTTAGAAGGGTGTTGAAACGTGTTTCATTGGCAAGAGATCCCGATTTGTTTACTGAAGCAAGCATTTTATGCTATAATAGATCTCCTTAAGTCATTAGTGATGGATCTAAAAGATGAAATCTTTTATTCTATTTTTAGATAATGTGGGGTTGTAGCTCAAATGGTAGAGCGCTCGCTTTGCATGCGAGAGGTACAGGGTTCGATCCCCTGCATTTCCAATTTTCATTTCACTATTTTTCAATTTCCCCATTAACCAATTCATACCTTTATCAACTAGCTAAACCAAGGTGGCCACCTGTCAATCCTAATCAATTCCTCCAAGTCTGCACGATTCTGCTCCATCAACAGCAAAATTCGGCCGAATCAATACTTCAATCACTCGCGTCTAAGCTAAGGGACAGAAATATTTATATCTTAGTACATTGTCCATTAAGTAATTGACACGATAGGAATGTAGCTCAATTGGTAGAACGCTCGCTTTGCATGCGAGAGGTACAGGGTTCGATCCCTGCATCTCCAAATTTTTATTCGATTTTTTTGAATTATTTTCCCAACCTTTCTCAATTTTCTGTGCAACACCAACAGGTTATCAGTTGCTACATTTACACTCGTTCCTGAAACCTGATTCAAAATGGCTAGAAGACTATCGATCAGCAGAACTATCTGCATTTTCCAATATCACCTCCATTGTCGAACCTTGGTAACCGATTCAGACCTTTCTCAAATCTCTAAACCCAGCTCACCTATCAACCCTTATCAACTCCTCCGAGTCTGCACGGTTCTTTATCAACAACAAAATTCAGACGAACCAAAGCTTCATTCTCACCTAAGAAACTGCGACTTTGATCTCTCTCACGAATTTTTCCTTCAGGTTTGCAATAAGTTCCCTTACTCGTGGAAACCCGTCTACAAGTTCTTCCAGTTCACACAGGCCCAACCGCATTTCTCGCACACTTCGGTTACATTCAATAAAATGCTCGATGTGATGGGAAAGTCCAGAAACATAGATCTTCTTTGGGAAGTCATACAAGAAATCGCCGACCGACGACTTGTGACCAATAAAACTTTCATAGTTGCTTTGAAAGCGTTAGCATCAGCCAGGGAACTGAAGAAATGCGTGGAATTATTTCATTTAATGAACGCCCATGAGTTCCATTACAGTTTGGAGACTCTCAACAAGGTGATCGAGACTCTCTGTGGTTCAAAGCTTGTCGTGGAAGCTAAGTTTATTGTTTTGAAGTTGAAGCCCTGGATCAAGCCGTCTAGAGAAACTTATAAGCACCTCATTAATGGGTTTTGCARGGTTGGCAATTTGGTTGAGGCATCAAAAATCTGGAATCAGATGTTGGAGGAGGGGCTCGAAGCAGATATTGATGCAATCGAGAAGATGATGGAGACTCTTCTAAAAAACAACCAATTTGACGAAGCAATGAAGCTTTTTCTGTCGATGAGAAGTGGGAGGATTGATGATTTGGGTCTATCCACTTACAGGCTTGTGATTACTTGGATGTGCAAAAGAAGCAAGCTCACCCAGGCTTACCTGGTGTTTGAAGAAATGCGGCAGAGAGGAATTCGTGCCGATAATCCGACACTTGCAGCTCTGGTCTACGGACTGTTAACAAAAAGAAGGATTAGGGAAGCTTATAAGATTGTGGAAGAGATTGAGAATCCAGATATAAGCGTCTATCATGGGCTGATTAAAGKATTGTTGAGGTTAAAAATGGCGAGAGAAGCAACTCAAGTGTTCAGAGAGATGATAAAGAGAGGGTGTGAGCCTATCATGCACACTTACATAATGCTATTGCAAGGACACTTGGGGAAGAGAGGGAGAAAGGGACCAGACCYYGTTGTGAATTTTGAGACCATTTTTGTGGGAGGGTTGGTCAAAGCGGGAAAGACCTTGGAAGCGRCCAAATATKTGGAGAGGATGATGGGTGGTGCAGTTGATGTGCCCAGGTTTGACTATAATAAGTTTTTGTATTGTTTCTCAAACGAGGAAGGTATAGTTTTCTTTGAAGAGGTGGGGAAGAGATTGAGGGAGGTAGGATTGGTTGATCTCGCTGACATATTTGTGAGATATGGTGAGAAGATGGCTACTAGAGAGAGGAGGAGAAACAGAGACCTACTTGTTGCAGAAGATGCTGCAGATGGTAGTAATGCAACGAGAACCATTATAAAAGAGGTGAGCTGACAATATTTATCACCACGACGAATTGAAGAAGCCCCACCAGCAAACTATAAAAGTACCAGAGGAATCAAGGACTGAGGAGCACTTGGAAAAAAGACTCAGACCTCCAGACTCGGGGGCTTCCGTTGAAGTGAATACTGATGGAGGTTTWTATCTTTTAAGGGAGATGGGTTGGTTGTTACTTAATAGGAGCATCTTCCTCTATACTTTTTGGCTGCCAGGATAGAACAATGTGAGGCATCATCAGTCATCACCATTAGAGGCATTCGGTTCGGAAGCTTGGAGGATGCAAAATTAGCAAAAACTAGAAAGACCCATTCTATTGTCATGGACTCTTGGAAAGTGACTCGAAGGAATTGACTTTGACGTTAAAAATGAAGGAATCGAGTTTCTTAAAGAAATTATCAATTGTGGCGAGTCGTATTATATCCCTGTAAGCATTTTCATCTACCTGGACAACCTTGAACCGGAAACGTTTGGGATTGATACACTGCAAGATGCAATGAATAAAAGAGCAACCTGCAATACTTGTCTGGGAAAGATAGGTTCCAGCCTTCTTGTATGATACAGCCATACAGGTTACTCAGGTAAAGGGAAAGGCGAGAGAGAGGGAGCGTTATTTTAAGCAGTAAGTTGGTTATCCACCCTCGAGGAGGGTATCAGTTACCTGAGTAACTATACTCTTTGGAGTCATGGCTTACTGTGAGATTCAATGTACCCCATTAATACCCGATTGACCAATTTAGTGATTTACCCCATTAATTACCGACAAACGAACGAGACTATTGTAGTATCTTCCTTTATCTCTCCATTTAAACTCAATCTATAGTTTTTTTTTTTTTTTTTAAATTTCTCATTCTTTCCTAATCTTAATACTTGAAATGACAACTCTAGCTTTTTGAGGATGGCCTCAAATTTGAAGCTGAAGTTGCAATCTCATCAGGTCGTTTGTTTGTTTTATTTTGTTTTTTAATTCTCTTTTATGTCCAAAAAGGGTTGTCAATGGACCAGGTATTGGTCCAATCCAATCCGGTTTGAAATGGATCCATTATAGATGGACCAGGTCCAATCCAATTCAATGAATACTTTGGACTATTCTGAAGTGGTCCAATTCAATGTCTGGACTGTTTAAAACTGTTCAACTTGATTTTAATTTAGATTGGGTCCAACCCAAAGAAAACCCTCCAAACTATTCAACTTGATTTTAATTTAGATTGAGTCCAACCCAAAGAAAACCCAAATCTGATCCTTTGACATAGTCTTATATTATGTCGATGGACTGGATATTGGATCAATCCAACCTAACCCAACATAAATCTATTATGGGCCCGGTCCAATCCAATCCAATAAATACCTTGGACCATTAAGTCTGCACTAGTCCAATTCAATATAACTTATAAGGAACCCCATCCATTGACACCCCTAGTCCCAATGAGGCCATAAAAAAAAAAAGACGCCAAAGCAGTGCATCAAGGTGCCTCTGGATGTAACCTACCTTTGAGCCTTTTCAGTTCATGATTCATGAGGCACGCAATGATCTCACAAGTCATACGCTAATACACTAAATCTTGAGAGTTGTGACATTTGACCACTTTTGAAGGGTAATAGCCCTCCCAGAGATGCCCTGGCCCAATTTCCAAAAGCAACTCCCCGACCCTCTATCTCCTCTTTGAATTGCAATCGACTTTATTTTCTTAGTGTCTGTTTGGCATCGTTGTCGTTGCTCTAGAAAACGGCATCACATCAACGCTACATCAGAAAAAACGGTGGTCCAGGAAACGAGCTTTTATTTGGAACCTTTTTTTTTTATAAAAACAATGTTCCAAGCCATGCCTTGAAAATCGGGAAGGCGTAGCTTGGAGCAACGCCGAATTTGGTGTTTCCTGAAGCTGCAGCTCGTTTCTTTCAAGAGGGATGTGAGGTGGCGGTGATGTGGCACTGGATAATGGGTACCAGTGCTGAAAACGTTTCCTGGAGTATTGGTTTAGCTAATTGATTAAATATACCCTTACTGTTTGAAAATTGACTAACGCCATTCCTACCGTTTCTGACAATTGATTAATACTTTCCTTATCATTAATGTTCCGTCATAAACCATTCAAATGTGTATCTTGTAAATGTTTTAACTTCCAAAAATACCCAACTTACCCTTATTATAACTTCCAACACTGACACCAGCTTCACGGAATATCTCATTGTCTCATCTAGCACCGACATCTTATTACTCGCAATTGGATATGGATCGCCAACATTATAAAGCTTGTTAGAAACCCCATGCCAATTAATAGTAGATTTTTTTAGAGGAGGAAGATGAGGAGCTTGTGAAGGTTTTGGATCTCCTCTAGGCAGAGTTGTAGAGATGTGAGACCCATTGGAGTTCGAATTGGATTCCATTGTTGTTTTGGGGAGAGATGGGAGGTACCAAGAGTGGCGTGAGGCTTTTCCCGCCAAACGATGTGCACGAAGATAGAATCCAATTTCAAGCCTCACGTAGCTCTTCTAATCGTTTTGGTCCAGAACTTGAAATGTTCCAAAGCAAATCCGTCTCACAAACGCAAAGGCAACAGATGGAGATGTGTTTGCAGGATTGGTTTTTCTCACTTTCCCCCTTTCGAGTTCTCTCCCTTTCCCTACCATCTTCACCAAAAAGGACGCACCTATGAAGAACGATTTGGTGACAAATGATTTGCAAAGACTTCTGCAATGGGTTGCTGTTCCACACTACCCTTTATTCTTCTTTTCGATTCACCACAGAGTGGAGCTTTTGGGTTTGAAAGGTTAGGGTTTTGATGAAGCAACATCGCTTTCCCTTTTTCTCTGTTTTACTTTGAAAATTTGAAGAATAAAGGGGAAAATAGTTTTTTTTGCCTTTCTATTAACAAATGCTAAAGTAATAGAAATATTAGTCAATTGTCAGAAATAATAGGAGTAGCCTTAGTCAATTTTCAAACAATAAAAGTAAAATTAGTCAATTAGCTAAACCATAAGGGTAGTTTAAGAAATTTACCCTAAAACTGATTTTCTCAACCACAACTGATAATCCGACCCCTTATCGACAAACTTCTGCCAGCTCCCTTCCAAATGATTCTCTTTTGAAGGGTTCCAATCAAAATGGCCAAGTTTCATCACAAGTGTATCGCCAATCTGAGCTACATATCCATCGTTGTTTGCATGGTATATCTTGACAGAGCTCCGACAATGGATCCCAGCCTGCCTCCAGGCCTCAATTAATTCTATGTTGTCACGGAGGCCAAAATTGTAGAAATGATCATAAAATATCACTGGCTGCAAATATACAGAAGTTTTTGTCATGGTTAGTAAAAATGTTGAACCCAATTCCACAACTTGATATGCAACTGTCCACCCGAGCTATTTGTTTTATATCATTCAGAATATTTCTTAAATGTGAGACAATAAAAATGTTTTAATAGTGTGAATATAGAAACGTGATTAAAACACTATACATTGATCTAGAATTTCAAATAAAATTCATTTCAAATGCTGATAATTTTTGCATTTAAAAACCTTGCCTATGCCAAACACCATGGAAGGTTGGGAGTCATGTAAGTATTAATTTTTGACATCTTTGGAGGACCAAAAGTCATGTAACTACTAATTTTTTATATACATATTAAGTTTTGGACTAGAGTGGATATCTATGCAAAAGAGATGAAGGAGCCCAGTAGTCAAAACTTGAAATTTCTGAAAATTTATGTCATTTTGTATTTTTGGGTGGTAAGGGTATGGCTATTATGTGTTATTTATCCTTATAGTTTGATTTGTCTAGTCATAGTTTAGTTGTTTTCGAAGTTTCCTAATCATTGGTTAAGTAGTTTAGGAGTTACTTTCTTTGAGTCAACATATAATAGTGGCAAATTTGCAAATTTTGTATATCTAGTTTTAGTAAGATTGGTCACTGCTATAATGTGTATGTATTTGTCATAAGCGTAAAGGCTTAGTTTGGAAGGAGTACAAATGCAAATATGTACAGTGTAAATACATATAAAATACAAGGTTTTGCACTCTACATATTTGTATTTGTACTCTTTTCAAACTGAGCCGAAGGAAAGAATGATTCCAGCACCCCCCCTTTAAGTTCTAGATTTTTTATTCTTCCAATCTTTCTTCTAATCTGATAGGCATCCATTATAATCATCAACATCCCACAAATTATTCATCAAAGATTCAAAATGGTTCATTCAAGTCAACAATCCTAAGGAACTATGATCATTCAACAATAGTTTTTTTTTTTTTTTTGACGAGGCAGTTCTTTTTGTTTTGTAAACAAAGCCAATCATATTGGTGAACACCCCTTAATTTAAACCAAAACAAGCCATCTTTGATTCCCCTCATATGGACGTTCCCATAGTTATCCATCCCCTTTCATTCTACCAAGTTCCATTCCAAGACTCCATCTAAAACCCTAATTTTTGGAATTTTAGTAGTTTATTTTTTTACAAAAGAAAATTCTTCATTTGTTTTGTGGAAGCCCGTTCAGGATGTTTTCTGATTAAATCACCACTTGCAGTGCATAATTCTAAGCATATTCACAAACTTATATGAATCTAATAATTTTCCTTCATCTCATAAAGAATTTTTATTTTTAGATGATTTGACACAGAGAAACATGTCCATGAAAAGAGTGTGATAGAAATTTGTATGCAGGTGGATGAATGGAAAAACTAGAAAGGATAGTGTCAGAATGAAGTCATTGGAAGAACCTGGTTTGGGCATGTGCATATAAGAACATCAACAACACCTTAAGAAGTGATCTGTTGCACATTTTAGGGGCTAAAAAGGCTAGGGGCAGACCAAAAAAGACATGGGCCAAAGTAGTAAGAAATGATTAAACATAACAGAATGGCAAAACAGGATTCAGTCAGTACTAGAGCTATTGACGCTACATCAAAGGAGACTTTGAATTACCGAAACACAATAACCAAGGAAACAAAAGGTTGACATGACCATGGTTTTCAAAATATCAATCAAATCAATCATCAAGTTGCCGGTTTTTACAGAGATCTTCTAAGCTGGAAATTTTAATGAAACTTCTAGTGATTTCTGAAAGCCTAACCTATGTTCATTGGAGAAATTACTCTGTAAACTGGGCTTTTCTTCACTTTCCATTTATTTCACTAAAATATGTAGAAAATTTCTTGGTCTATAAGATTGCAGTTCTACTTCTGCCTCTTTTTTATGGTCAAAATTTGTTTTTTTTTTCACCCTTTTTACATGGAAACAAATTCCACCTTTTTTTTTGCAACAAATACAGTTTCTAGTACCTTAGATAAATGTATATAAAAAAAGCATAATAGCAGGGCCTGTCAAGACAACTCTTAGGGTCCGTTTAGTTCGTAGTCGGAATCGGAATTAAAATCCTCCGGAATCAGAATCAGAATTGGAATTGAAATCGAAATCCTCTGGAATCAGAATTGGAATCGGAATGGTCCATTCTCATAGTCTTTTTGGTTCAAACAGGAATAGGAATGAAAATTAAAATGAGCAGGAATGGGATTTCATTCCAAAGGGAGGGGCAGGGAATGGCCATTCCCTCAAATGGGGGAATGCCATTCCAGCAGGAATGGGAATAGGATTCTGATTTCATCCAACCAAACAGTTGGAAACGGAAATAGCCCATTCTGATTCCAATTCCAGACCCCTATTCCCACAAACCAAACGGGGCCTTAATTATTCCAAAAACTAAGAAATGAAATTACCGTTCCAGGATGGGTTAGAATGTATGCATATCCCTGTGTAAGCTTATCCCGTGGAAATGGCCAGTGCCCCTGAAATAAGAAGGAAACAAGAAA